CGCTTCGTTCCGCTTCGTTCCGCTTCGTTCCGCTTCGTTCCGCTTCGCTTTGCTTCGTTCCGCTTCGTTTCGCTTCGTTTCACTTCATTTAGTTTTTTTTATTTTTTATTTATTTATTTATTCATTCATTCATGGAAAACCAACAGCTTCTTACATTTAATAAAAACGGGACATCACATCAGGCACTTACTTAAATGTAACAATCCAATACCTGCGCTAATCACAAATTATTTAACAAACTTAGATAAATAGAATGTCCGTGAGTTTACGCTTTAACGCATCAACATTACAATTGAATATATCAACTTCCAGGTCATGATTACCCAGCACACTATTCAAGCTCTTGCTGGTTTTAGAATAGAAAACTATTTTGTGTATAGTTAATCCTCGCTAAGGGAACTGCAGTAGGGTGATAGTGTCTCTTAGAACGAGTAAGTACAATAAACGAAATATCACCGAATAAGTCAAAGCAGTCAACATTACCATTTATAATGTTTAGAATATACGCAACATCAAAGATTTTTCGGAGAATATTTAGAGGTAATAGATTCAGATCCTTACAGAGACGTGGGTAGTCGCATGAATTATAAGACTTACTCATTTTATATCATAAGAATTTAATAAATTTATTTTGGACTCGTTCAATTCTATCAATATGGACTTGGTATCTCGTACTCCAGATTTGGGAAGCATATTCCAACTTACTACGAACATATGCACAATATAATATTCGTAAAGTTCTTGGCCTTGAGAAACAGACTGAGTTACGCATTATGAATCCAAGAGACTTAGGGTCGTCTTCCAGAACTCTACTCAATGCTCAAGTCAGGACTTGAGCAGACTTGAGTATGATTTCAAGCACTGGAAATACGACCATAATGGCAAGGGCTTGAGTATGATTTTCAGTCCTCACTGCAATACTCAAATCCTAACTTGAGTATTGAGTAGAGTTCTAGAATACGACCCTTGGTAGCCTTAGAGATAACATCATCAATATGAGCATCAAAGATCAGCTTTGAGTAATGGATGACACCCAGACTCCTCATCCAGAATCCTCATGATTGTCTTTCGTTCTAGACAGCGGTTTTTCAAACTGTAAAAAGTAAAAATAGTTTTGACCTTGCGTTAAAAAGTCATTAAAAAACATCTGGAGGGGTTAAGATCTAATTTATTGTTCAGACAGTAGTCATCCAGCCGCGATATATAACAAATTAGTGGAGGAACACAAAAATAAATATATATCTTGGTAGTGAACCATCATAATATACATCACAATCAATATTCATTTCTGTATTTTGAATAATATTCAGTTTTGATATTTTGATTTTCAAGATTTGAATTTTATTTTCCAAAGTATTTATAACGTCACTAATATAGCATAAGGTTACGGACACTAACAAACTATGGACCTTACTATGTTGTCTGTTTATAAAAGGCGTTTATTTATTTTATTAAAATAATCTTCTTAATTATGTCTGTTTGTCGACAGGTGAACGGCGTGCGAATGCGTCGACGCCTGTGATGTGCCCTCTAATATGCAGTGTGGCGGCCTCTACTTCGTGTGTCTAGCATTGTGCTGTCTGCATACCGAATCGGGTATGTATTTTTTAAACGACCTCGGCCATATTACATTTTTTCTTTATTTATTTGAAAACGAGACAGGGCATTCTTTGCCTAATTATAATAAATGGAGGTTTAGAAAATGTAAAAAAATCATCCCATTTTTTTTGCATAATTGTAAATTTGTAATAGGTTTTTACGAAGATAGGAAGGATGCAGAAAGACGCCCAAGAATTTCCAAATGAACAACGGCGTTTATTTATGTAGTTATTATGATCGACATTAGAGACCTAATCGCACTCATCCTCGATGTCAGCTCACCGTCGTCCTACCAGGTTTAAGCGGCAGCAAGTGATCGATGATAAAGAACGACCATTCTATGAGCTTTCATCCAAGTATCCCACTAGGTGGAAGTACCGGAGTGCCACTCATGCTCATAGGCCCTATGGTTCGATACAATGCAATTTCCTTTTAGAACGTATATGGTAATTCAGTGAACACTTCGATAGCGCGTTCTATTTTGATCCCAACGCCATTTAGCGGCAAGGCGAGGTTATTAATATTAGTTGAGTTGTGGTGTTTCAAATTTAATTATTCACACAAGGTAAATTTAATTTGATCCAGCTGGTTTGGAGCCAGCGACCTCGCCTTCGACGGTATGGCGATCTTGCCATCCTTCGATCTTTGTATTAATATTTATTACACAAACTATAGTCCATTTGTTTAGGTACTTAACTAAATGTAAACAATCTTGAGATGATTTAATGAGACATATATTTATAAAATGATTTTTACTTACCTTCAAATACAAACTACGAATAATTAGCTTCATATGAAATTACATGCCTATTTTTATATCTATTGATATGTAAAGTATATGTTTCAATAAAAAGATGTATCAAGATTGTTTACATTTAGTTATGTACCTAAACAAATGGACTATAGTGTAGTAATTTCACAAAAACAATTGAATATCATGCTAGGAAAACATCGTAATGTTCAATAAACTCATTTAACAATAATACATTAATTTATTTCTGACCGCAAGAGAGAGAAAGAGAGGCCTAGTTTTTTGCTTGTCTCGTGAGTTTGGGTGTAATTTATGATTATCTATGTATATGTTCATGGTACTCGCGGGTTTCCCTAGTACGGTTTCCCTCGTGTGTGCAAAAAAAAGAAAGAAATCTTTAAAATTTATTTTTAACTTTCCTAATGACCTCCAAGTTTACAAATAATTCATAATTATTTATACGAAATAAATATAAATCGCTCTACAAAAATCAGCTGTTCAGTATGTACTCTAGTCAAATATAAAAAAAAACCAAAAACATTTGATTTTTAGGGTTTTCACCTTAGATTGTTTTATAGTTACCACAATTGCAAGGTTTTTTCTCGAAATTCGATTAGTCTATTGATAATACTAATCTCGTAGTCATGTCCATGATAAGTTTTGTTCAACAGAAGGTCAATAAATTAGTAGAAATTAATAAATTATACAACTGTGTCATACGTAATGTTTTTTTTTTTTTTTTGAAGGAAGCGATTGCGATCATTCAGGTTGGAGTTGTCATTCAAATACAGACTCGAAAATTTATGGTATACGATTACGTAGTAAATTACTATAAAATAAAATGTTACGATTTTCTTCCTTTTCATCTACCATTGCCTGCTGTCTAGCAGTAAGTATTAACAGGTATCGAAAACTTATTTATTTTATTCACAAATCGTACGTAATAATAGACACTTTGCAGAATTTATAATAATGGCCAGGTAAGAATATGATGATAATGAAAAATATTCTTTTCCTGTGCCATCAGTGGTTGCCTGGTAACGTTTTGTTATTAAACATTCTACGAGTATGTCGAATTTGGCTAGAGTTCAGATTGTATATCTGCCGTCCACTAACGAACACGCGGCTAAGTGACAAATGGTCAAATAGCCGTTTTATATAGCAAAAAATAGAGCACAAAATTCTTTTTTAAAATTAGTTAAACTTATCAGACTTATCAGAACTTTCCCTACCTACCTTGTTCGTCCAGAGAAGTACTGCCAGCCAGCCTATTTCTGCTGCTAAGCAGTAACGTCAGTATTTCTGTGTTCCGGTCTTGAAGGATAAGGGTGATGGTAAAATTACAGACACATAGGACTTGTCAACTCATGGCTCAGGGTGACGGGCGCAGTAGCAGTCCGCTCAGATCTTTGCGATTTAAAGCTCTGAGTAGCAGTACAAGTGTTATGGACAGGCGTATGGCTTACCATCAGACACATGACTTGTTCGTCCCGTCATTTTATATTATAAAAAAAAAGGTCGACAGATGTTCGATCGGCACACTAAAGCTATTAAATTGACACTATTTGATCATTTTACATTGAGGATCAAGATTGTTTGGAAGTGTGTCCGATTACTTTATATACTAATGTATTATAACATTATCTATTAATCTGAGCGGGACTGATGAAGAGCTGAACCAATTAACAAAAACTAAAGAATTATATTCGGTAATTTCGAATGACGATTTCTCTGAGGATTACTTACATCGCCTACGTCACTGTTGTTAACGTTCGGGTCTCTCACCATCGTCGTACTCTATTCTTGGAATAATGTTCAAAATGGTTTGGGGAGATGAATGACACTAGGTCTAATCGTAAGCCTGATTTAATTACTGTGACGTCGGATATTCAGTTAACGCTTCAGCACCACATAAATGCTAAACTGCGCGAGCTTTTTGCGGTATTGCCACAACTACATTGGCTTTTCACGAGAAGTAGAAAACCATAAACAGAAATACATAGTTTTCGTAATTTATTGGATTGTAACAAGTCTAATAAAAGTTAGCTAAAACGCGTACTTACATTGACATAAACGGGTTTACAGCAGCTTATTTGTTGTTAAACTATTACACGCTCATCTGTAAATTAGTCATCCTTTTATATATCCCACAGCTAGGCTCGGGTCTCCTCTCAGGCGATGGTTAAGGCTGTAATCCGTCACACTGGTCCATTGCGGAATGGGGACATCACACACTTTCTGAGGGTTGTAAACCTTCTTTGACATGCAGCTGGTACAACTGCCTCAGTAGCATAACGGTTACCATGCTGGTGTGCTGCGCAAAGGTCCCGGGTTCGATTCCCGAGCCAGGAGAAATATTTATATGGTCTACATTTATATCTCTCGTGAGTTTGGGTATAATTACGCGACATAGAATTTCCCTAATGCGGGGCTATGAGTATGTGCGTATGTGTGATATTCCCCTTCACTGCAAAGCTCATGATAAATTTCAAATTAAATTAAATTAAAACTCAGAGGTGCGAGCTCAGATTTTAACGCACTATTGGAGAGGTGGCAGGTCAAGCCATTAAGGTACCACGGCTTACATGAAGTGGTGGTACTACAAATTATTACCACCACTTCATTAAGAGGAATTAATAAGTGAAATGTGTTTTGCGTTAAGTCCTCTAATCCAAAACCCGCTATCTACCAAAGCGGAGTAATGAAGAGCTGTGTTTCTACTAATATTATTAATTATTATGACTAAACGGCAAAGAAATGTTGCAATAACGTAATACTATTGGTTGGTGGAACTACTCTTCTGTGCGTCGTCGCCTTGTTAGATAATAGGCTTGAGGGCTGTTACGTACTTTGCGGGTGTGCGGTCGTGTTACCATGTGGTAAAACATAAAATGAACAGCACTTTACAAATCTACGGTGGTATAAATTGAACACACATTTATAGAGTTGTTTGCATCCATTATAGTGTAAAATTTAAATTTAATTAGGACTTATTGAAAACAGATTTATGTATTTCGCGCGTATTTTAAAACTTTCTAATATCATAAACGTTAACGGGAATATATAAAACGTTTTCCTAAAGCAATCTCAACTTTATCGAAAAACCACAAATTTTACGTTTTATAGGAATATTTAAAGAACAATCGCAAGAACGGCAGAGACATTAGTCTTTTTTTTTAAAGAATAAGAAAACATTTTCCAATTCCGAAGCGAGATTAAAACTTCCGACGATTCAATAACAAGAGAGATACGTAAAGATATTTGATTGAAGACAAATGAATGACAAAAAGCTTTTTGACAAATCGCGAACGTAATTCATTTTGTAAATTTGGAAATATTTTTTCTAAAAGAAAACAATAATTGAATCTTCTTAAATCCGGTAAAATGAATAAACCTGCAGGGATTATATGAAACAGTTTTTAAAAGGTATAATAAAAATGTAGTGTATTCTATCCGTCAATTACTAACGAATATGCCGTATAATTTTTCTAGACATTGTGTGTATTTATTTATGTATTCATTCATCAATGGATTAGTACAAGCTGTTTCATTAGTTGTGTTAACATTTTAGGTGATTATCACAGTAGAAGTGTGAAGTGGGCGTTACCTTCTAGCTATTGTTATGACATATCTATCATAACCCTTGTTATGCGCCAATGCTCTCTTAAGCCGAGCGTGTTTTTGTCATAATATGTCGGTCATTAATATAATAGCATACAGACGTGGCAACAACTTACGGAAATATTCGTAGTTTGCGAACTTTCCCGACTGTAATATTTACGCCAAAATATTGCCGGGCATTGTACTAAGGTTTCCAAGGAGTCCGTTCTATATACGAAAAAAGAAACAGAATATAATAAATAAATAGGTATCGAAAATATTCGATACCTACCTATCATGTGTGGCTAATATCTATTCCATAAAAATGTTTTTCATTTTCGTTCTTACTCAAACGTGCGTATTTATTAAATTTATTGAGTTCTTAACAATAACAGAATAACAGCTGTCTATATGTACGTTATTGAAGTCAGTGAACCCGTGACCACTATCAGTGCAGCCTTACCGAAACGTTGGGATAATAGGTAGGTGTGCAAATACCTACTGATTAAACAGTTTATTTCAGTTTTAGAATGTTACGATCTATCTATTCCATATTTATAGGTATATTTAATATGTTTGTTTTATTATTCATATCAGTCTTTTTTTTTATTGTATTGCAAGTAAAATTTACTTTCCGTATATTTATAAGCGGAGTATATTTATGCATACGTCTCCATTCCAATCAATGGAGTTATAAATATTATTATATACCAATTTTGGAAACGTTGGTTTGTTTGTAAAAACAAATATACGCGATTTAAATCCCGAAAAATAGTTTCATTTCCTATCGATACAACGTATCTTAAAGTCTTAAAAGTTCAATGGTATAAATAATTTGTTAATTATTTATAGCAACGAATGATATAACCCAATTTTTTGCTATTTTTTTTTAATATTTATACTTCGTACAAATCTTTTATTAACAAGACACCATGTATCTACATAGCTGTAAAGTTCCATTAATTTTGTAGCTTGGAGGATTATGGAACGAGGCCCTAATGTATACTTTCACCTGCTTGGAAACCTTCAATCTGGTTAGATGAAAAGCGAAGAAATGTAAAAAAAGAATCCATTTGTATTAACCAAGCGAATCCATACTCTGTTGACAAATGAATGTTAGTATATTTTTCCCATATACGTGCCATTAAGTACGAGTCATCTGAATGCGATACAACTTTCGTGAGTTGTTTATACCCATACCCGCAAAAGTTTGAAGTTTCTGAAATATTAGATTTCACTGCTGGACAAGTTTCCTCTAAGAAGAGGGTTAAGACCATCTTTTGCAGTGTTAAGTTTTTTCTTTCAGTTCACGCATGCTGTGTACAATCAGTTATACAGGTGACTTTTAGTCACCTTTTAAATTTTAATTTCTAATAATACATATAGAGTCGTCTAAATAGACGACCTCAGTGGCCGAACAGTTTACTCAAAAACATCGACAATTTCTTCTTCGATATCCCCTCACAGTTGTGAATTGACCCATTGTCGATAGCCTTTAATTAGTAACAGTAATAAATTGACGATTGGATGTGAATGTCACATAAATACACACGTTAATTAAGTGGGCTCCGTCTAAACTTTTACCACTTAAAATATAATTCACGTTTGTCATCATCACACCATATTATGCACTATCAGTAGTATTCGCGGTTTTAATTTAAGCGATCGATGCGCATATGTGTCGCGTTGATAATGCTAAAATTGAGGCGTAATTTTTTTTAACTGAGGCAGTATTTACTGCCTATATAAAATATTGCGTGAAATAGAGTGGCTGAACTAGGGATTAGAGTCTAATGCGTAGAAAATATTATTCAAAGATAGAGATTGAAGCTGCTGCGTTATTTGATATATATCATGAGTGTTATTTATTATTATATGAATCTTTTGCATTTGATTTATCATTATTACCTTACTGAACTGCCATCACTGAACTGCTATCAGAGGTCCCGGATTCGATTCCCGGGCCGGGATAATTACTTGTATTGCCTACATTTATTTCTGTCGTGAGTTTGGGTGTACTTTGTGATTGTCTACCTATGTATGTGTCCATGGAACCCACGATACAGGGTTCCCCTATGAGTGTGTGTATGTTAAAAAAAACTGTATTATAAACATGGTTCAGTTTGAAAAAATTCGAGAAACTCTAGTGTTTTTTTATTTGACTCTCCTCCTCCTTCATCCGACTTCATACCTATTTGAAACGTCGCCGAGGGACACGTGCACTCCTTTTGCGCTCATACTGCACACTAATTAATACGAGTATGACCACTACACGCATTAAATAACGCGATAAATCTCTTTGATGTGCCAAAAAGACCGCCACCAGAGCTATCGTCTAAAGCCTAATTCCATAATAAATAACGCAGTAAAATTATCGCGATAAGTCGTGGGTACATCGACGCTTAGTCTCGATTAATGGAATAATTAATGCCATTAAACCTTAGCGTGGCCATAAGATAAGAACACATGCGTATTGCATAGGCTCAGTGAACGTTAGAGGAAACGTTTACATCCCCGGCTCGGGATATCCTTCCACATGCATCGCCGTTCTCCCGTTTTTCTAAAGAAATGACGAATGTCAAGCGTGTCGCGTAGGTTTCCTAGGCAAAGCTAAAAATTCTTTCGGAAAAAATATTTTAGAATGAAAATTTAAGCTGCCAACTTTCTTTTGTTCAAAAATGGAATATTTGTATAATACCTGCCTAGAAAAAATGGATGGTGACTAAACAGTCATCGCGTAGAGCAATGCAGCGTACAATTCGTAAATCATATTTATACATCTATTATATCTAGACCTACTTTAATAAAGAAACCAAATTGGACACAATTAATCATGACGGTAATATATAATTTTAAAAAGGAGGAGGTTCTCAATTCGACTGTATGTTTTTTTGTATGTATGTTACGCGATAACTCCGTCATTTGTGAACCGATTTTGATGATTCTTTTTTTGTTGGAAAGAGAGTACCTCCCTAGTAGTCCCATTTAATTTTCAAGAAAATCATCCTCTAAGGATGACTGTTCACGGAAGAAGATTCATTTTTATAAATAACGCCTAAATTTTATTATAAGGAGCAATTATTTGATTTTGCTATTCTCCATTTCAAGGCGTTTTTCTCTCTCAATATACTTTGAGTAGAAAGAATCTATTTTTATTATCTCCTGTGTCAACTTCCATATAGTGGCGAACTAAGGGATGAATCCGGGTTTGCGCACTTTCCGGTAACCGATTTCAATAAAACTTGGCAAATAGATGTAACTCTCTGTACCGAGATTAGGACCCATTTATTCGTTAATTTATTTAGATAAATAACAAAACACTTGACGTTCTTGTAATCATACCAATTAAATAAGCATACATGTAATGTTGACTTGGAAATCAATATATTCTTTGTTGGAATTCCGTATTAAAATGATTTTTATTGAAATGATTAATACCAAAGAGGAAGAATTATGAATTATGTTATAATAGATCAAGCAATTACGACTGACTTAAGGTTCACATAGGAGCATCAATAGTAGAAGGCAGTATTTTTGCAGAACCACTCCGCCTACCCGAAGACTACAGCACTAATGTTCGGAGACGTCGAAGCGATGAGAAGGACGGCCTTGCACTGTCCAGGGAGATATTCAAAAACATCACGAAGCATCTCCGTGAAAATATCAGACGCGAGGGAGCGACTGACAAGAATGATAATTTATTACAGAGTAAGTATCGATTTGAAAGCAGTGATAGCGTAGTTGGGGGACGCTTGGATTCCATATAGAAAGTCCTGGGTTAAAGTTCCGCGAGTGATGGGCTGCACTAGATGAATATTTCCGAATCATATATATACTGTGTAGTTCACAAAATTATCATGATGAAAACCAAAAAATGATGAAAAAGGTTCAAAAGATCACTCAATTAACTGTACCTTAAGTGTAACTTAACTATAACTTAAATTCTTTTCTTAAACGAGATTTTACCCTGCAGTCGTACTTATGATCATAAGTATGGATTTTTGCTATGTACAGCGCTCTACATCTGGTTAACAGAAAATAACTTACTTAACTAATCTATAATGTCGATTTCTTGAAAAATGAACTCTGCTGCCAAACTAACTCCCTACGTGGCCAGACGGTTACCATATTGGTCTGCCACGCACAGGACCCGGGTTCGACTCCCGGACCGGGCGAAATGCTTGTATCTTATTGCTTACATTTATTTCTCACGTGAATATGTAACTTGTGGTTGTCTGTATGTCCATGGCACCCGCGGTACAGGGATCGCGGATGCCTAGTGCGGAACTCCAAGTGTGTGCGTTATTATTGTTAGTATTATTATTATTAACTAATTTGCAGTATTAGCATTTGCACGTCTATGTCATGTTAACTGTGAATGAGATAGATGCAATGTAATAAAAGAGAACTCTAATTAATATCCCAAAAATAACAGTAAGATAACTGCAGATGCGTAGGACATTTTAGTATAGTTTTTATTAGTGCCTTGTTGGAACATGTATATAAAAATTGAGGAAATTTTTTATGTTATGTTTTAGGCCTCATTTAAGGACATGCGGGACATTGTGCGGTGCGTACCTAGAGCGGCTTAAATCAACCATAGCGCGATGAATGAGAGTATTCTTACAAGTAACGGTCGCCGCTGTGTCAAGATTTCATTGGGTGAAGGAAGTGAGTCAGTGAGTGGTAACTCCGCCGCGAGAGCCGCCACTGAGCGCGAACCTACGCCCATTTCCCGCGGTCGCCCGTTCAAACTCTGACGCGGGCTGCATTGCTAATCGAAACACGGACGTGCAGCCCACAATTCTGTTTACAAAAAGCGGACTGAAATTGAGGAATAACTATTAATTTATGATTAACATAAATTATTTACATTAAAAACGACGTAACGGTTTAATAATCCACAATAACCGACCCTCGATCAAAGCACGCTTATTATGCAAACATGCTTTGATTTAAGGTTACATAATACTCTCCACTCTCACATCTCTTCCTCGCGCGTGCCGAAAACCACCACCACCAAGCACCAGTAGCGGCGTTTGTGAATGTATTCGTGCGATTCTATAGTAACTACAAGAATTTGATATTACCGCGAAACACCCGCTCGCGCGCTCACGCATTTACTATGAGGGGCGGTTACAAGCCGCCTCATCATGAACTGAGAATCTGAAGAGGCGCTGTTTCCGTACCGCCCCACGCGCCTCGTAACGCCCTGCATCTCCATAAATGAGCTTTTAGAATTGAGCATCCCGCTTATATTAAAAAGGTAATTTTAACGTAGTAGATTATGTTTGCGTTAACATCAATAATGTTAGGTATATACTCGTATCTTGTCTAAATTTCGTACTGCAACCTGTTGAACATTCGAAATGTCTTTTCTTTTCTAGTTTTTTTTTGACGTGGTGCTTAATCTATTATTAATAAATAAATAACACACAAAACAAGAAGAAATATATCTAGTTGTAAAGCATCTGATTTAAGTTTTAATAAATGTATCTGTAAAGACGTTATAAAACAAATTAAAAATGAACAAAAGCCAATATATTAGCTACCGAAAAATGCTGACGTATTTGTTATAAAATCACTTTTTGTTATGCTGGATGTGACTACAAAAGAAACTTCTTAAATAATAGTTTCTAAGAAACATTACGTCAACTCTTGTGAAAAACATAAAACAAAATACAAAACTGTTTGTATTTTTTTTACGCTAAGATACGTTGGTCTTGTGTTTTCTGATTCCGAAAACAAATTTCAATGTTGTTGATTCGTGTACCTGAATAAATACATACTGATCAGATATGATCGTTCTTCTAAATCCAGGAATGCTTTTGTGATTAAGGGCCATTAAAGGATGATTTGGAAATCGATTAAGTATTCTTTATTTTGTTAGAAATCACTTTCTGCAAGCAGGAAATTTAAATGAGGATAATAGAAACGTGAATTATACGATGCGGGACGTACTCGCAGACTTAACAGAATTTCGCTGTTTATGAATTTAATAGTCCTTATCTACTTTCAATAATACAATCAAGATAATGTTGTAATTAAAAATAGCCTATTCAATTTAATACTTCACGACTGTACGCTTAAATATTAACAATTACTCTTTAAACTGGTACGAATCCTAGGGACACACGGTGTTCCTAACGATTTGGTACTGTAGCGTTCTAAGGTCACACGAAGCTGTGTTTTCGTACATTAATTTTAAAAGTTTGTAACTATTTTTCAAAAATTTATAAAAAAATAAGACAAATTTTATATCAGAATGATTACAGATTGTGTATCTTTGGGACGCGTGGCGGGTTAAATAATGTAACATTTGCATAAAAAATTAATGAGCAAAAATCACATTATTACATCGCAATTGAATAACTAATATTACTCACACAACATGAATATTTTAGTACAAAATATTCACTTCAGTAGACAAAATTAAACAATATTAATTATGTTAAAACAAGCCATTGCTATACTTCAAAATACGCAATCAAGCCATGCTGCTACTGCGTGCTGTCACTACATTACAACAGCGATAATTTCAACTTTTATAACAATGTACTATCATATCGAGTTCTTAGATTTTCGCGATTGTTACACATTGGAAATGAAACTATTTTTCCGGATTTAAATCGCGTATATCTGTTTTTTTAAACAAACCGACGTTTCCGGCCCTTTATCCCATGGTCACAGTTGACGAGTCAATACGGAAAAACAGTTTCATTTCCTGTAAGTACTATCATGATTTTGCGTTTCAATATTAATCATACGAGAAGTCTGCGTGATTGCTCTATTAGAGATATAAGCATTTATAATGGAGCGTCTTTGACCAATTAGGCTTGTTCATAATTCATCCTCGAGCTGAATATATAATTTCAACTATTATTCACTGTTGCTGTAAACCAACCTGCAGGTTTACCTCTTAGGGATGATTGGGAGGCGTTGTATATTAATAAAGCCTTCCAAACTGATAGGATTTGTTGCTATTTAAAGTTGGAGTAGGAGCTCCAAGATGTATAAATGATGAATGGTGGTCTTGTACAGTTCAATACACAAATTGGTTAATTAAAATTTTACAACCATGTTCAGAAGTATTTTTTATTTAAATTATCAAATTCAACATATTGTATTTGTCGCTCTTTAGAGAACGCAATGAGGCCACAATTTTACTCAAATAATGTAACTAAGTGCCACTTTTCTTTGTCAAACAGGTAAGGTAGAAGAGTCGCGGCAGTATGTGCCCTATCAAGGGTACCATCACCACGAGCATCACTGGGGTCCATATTTCGAGGAGGAGAAGCTCACGCATATGGCTGTTCACATCGGTGCCGAAGCCATGCTGAGCTGCAGGGTTTCTATGCTGAAGGATAAAACGGTAAGTATTTTGAGCTCAACGCCAATCGATTACGTTTTTAAGTAGTATGTTGTATATTAATAGCGGTAGAGTAGTGAGGAACAGGAATCCACAAAGTTTTAGAATTCGTTCTCGATTGCTTTACGAGAACTAAATGGTTTTCCTTGTAGATTATTTTTTTATATTGCACACCAAATGTTAGTCGCTGGGTTCAAGCCAGCAAAATGTAACTTCTTCATATGTATGCTAATTCTTTAAGGTAGTAGAAGCGTCAATGTGCGTTGCCCGTTGTAGTTCGAAGAATTCGTGTTTTTCTTTTTGTACCGGTTTGGCGCAAATTGTTATGCATTGTAGGTCAAATCATGCTGCCAATTCACCCGTTGCGATGGGTCGTTTTCAATAATACCTCTCAAATCATCATTAATCATAAGTTTCTCACAGGCGGCGTTGACGGCAAAAAAACCGTTTAAATCTAATGCGAAGATCTGCAACGAGCATATAGAAATTTGTAAGATTTGCTGACTCGAGCTGTAGCTATAGTAGAGTCCAGTAAAATAGAAGGATTTTTTTAAAGTTTTTGATTGCGAATACGACTAAAACCAAAAATGCTCAGTGTATTCAAACTACGCATTCAAAGTATTGAATTTTAGCAGTGGTATTCTGTTTGATTTCAAAGTGAACGCAAAATGAAATAAAACGAAAACGAAATAAAAATGAACTCCAAAATTTCAAATTTTTTTCAGCATCCTCATATTTTTTGATTCAAAGGTTTCAAATCAGTGTTGTAATAAAATTTTTTGACTTGATTTTAAAATGACCGCAGTTTTAGAATGATAATTTCAAACTTTATATATGAAATTATGAAAATACAATGCCAGAATCTGTTCTACACAACAGTTCATTACAAAATTCAAATGTACGAACGTTTTTGTATTTTATGTAAATCTCCTCGTTGTCTACTGAACGTGAGTAATTGCATTTTAAAGTACTACAAACTAGGAACTTTTAGTAACCCCGTGTTGCAATTAAAGTTGATGCCGACTTTCATATTTATGTATCAATCTACAAAGCTCACAGACGTTCCTGGGTAATGAAAGTCTAATCCTAAATCTAAAACGAAAAGTCATAGGTATACAAGTACTTGTTTAGCTAGACTTGTCCAGAAATCGTGATGAACTTGCTGTTGGTCTTTTAAGTTCTTCTAAGTAGTAGCAGTAGAACTCCTTGTAAAAAGTTCATCCAGGGAAGTAGTAGCGTGAGCATTACTGTGTTTCGGTTTAGAAGGGTAAGGAAGCTGGTGAAATTACAGGCACATGGAACTTGTCAACTTATGCCTCAGGGTGACAGGAGCAGTCGCAATGTTCCTCAAATCTTTGCGATTTAAAGCTCTGAGCAGCACTGCAACTGCTATGGACAGGCGTGTCGCTTACCACCAGGGACATGACTTGTTTGTCCTGTCAATTGGTATCATAAAAAGTTATTAGGACAATTGTGGGCTAGAAACAAACTGCCTTCGTGGCCGAACGGTTACCATGCTGATCTGCCACGCAGAGGTCCCGAGTTCAATTCCTGAATCGGAAGAAATATTTGTATGGCCTATATTTATATCTCTCGTGAGTTTGGGTGTAATTTGTGGTTGTCTATGTGTGAGTATATGGCACCCGTGACACAGGATTCCCTAGTGCAGGGCTATGAATATAGGCGTGTTTAAATTTATTAATTTAATTTTCTTCCATGTACTCAAAAAATGTTCCTACGCAATATTCGATGTGCGTCACCTAAATAGGTGTAGTTAAAAGTAATTCCCACGTATGAGAGAGAGAGAGAGAGAGAGATGTATGAGATGAAAAATAAATCAACAAATTTTTTACGGTTCTAAGAATTTGGGGCGTGTTGCTCGGATAAATCATCATCTTTGGAGAAACATGTTGACTTAAAAACAGAGAAATATTCCTCGTTCTTAAAACAACTTTACGTATTAAACACAACCAGTTCCTAAAATATGAAGTTTAGACTGACACCTTTACTAGTATTTGGCATTATTAGACTACTTAAATATAGACCGTGTCTTAGCAAGAAAACTTTCAAGCGGGTTCACAACTCCTGCATTGTAACAATGCAGGAGTAATAAAGCAGGAGTAATAATAGTTTCACTGGACATAGTGAAATTACTATCATCAAACTAGTCCATCATTTGCTCCGGGTACCCCGGAATGAATTCCGTTGCTCTGGCGCTTATAGCACAGATAATCCTCTATTTTGTGACCACGTAATTGATGTGATTTTCTGGCACATTATTATTATTATTTAAGGGTAGTATTCCAAACGAAATAAATATTACTAACATGATTTATTTCCGCTTTAAACAAAATAATATGTTAGTAAAAAAGCTATGTAAGTGACTCCAGTCAGTGCTGAAATTATCTAAATACTGGTTAAAACTTGTAGAATCACCAAGCTCGATATACAAAAAACCTTTTTTTTCTATAAAATCGTATGTAACGCATCTTATTACTAATTAATTATGATAATGCTATCGTATGAAACCTAAACACTGCAAGATTCAGTTCAGTGTTTTGCGATTTCATCACAAGATTCTTGCGGCTGTTACCAATCTAGGGCAGATTACTTTATTAATTAATTTTTTATTGAATTTCAATTATTTTTTGTGAAATTACTCCACTAGTTTGTTATAATTATTAATACAAAGATCGAACACTCAGAAAAAACACTCAGAAAAAATTCCTTCGATCCGGTCG